CCCCCCCCCCCCCCCCCCCCCCCACGTGCTATTAATTTAGCTTTAGGCCTACCCCACAGTTGAAAACCCAAACACACTTTATTACTTTTAGTTACACCAATTAGTGTTTTAAAGAGTTAAATGCTTTGAATCATTCAATGAATCAAAATTTATTATTAATTTTAATATTTTATAACGATAAGTAACCGGTCTAAACCCACTGTTAGTAGATATTGTCAGTCAGGCTCATTTCTATTACACTGTATCTTTAGTATCTATTCATTTCAATTATGATTTTATTCAAAAATATAAAACGTTAGTATGTAATAAAAGACAGATTGATTAGTACTTATAATAAGGTAATATGATCTGTCCAGGAACTAAATTAAGGATGATTTATTGGGTGTAAAAATGGAATTATTGCATAATCTTATCAGATCTAACGCGACTAAGTGACTAAGGTAGTGAATCCAATGGGGTAAAAATTGAGTAGAAACTTGGAAGTGACCCCAAGTTTGATCCTAGAAAAAAGATGCATTCACATTTGTCTGTATGTCCGGCGGGTTGTTGAGGCAGCGTTCAATGATGGATATCAATTCCTCTCTCTTTGGGTTCTATAAATTGCACATGTTCATCTGGGTTTTGCCACAATTCTGTAAGTCTTAGCACAATCTGGAGCTGTCTTGTCTCTTTTCTTCCCCTCTTCTCTGCTTGCTTCTTCCTCTATTCGATCATATCCATGGCTGAGGTTTCTGGATCAACCAATGGACACCATGCTGTTTCTTTCAACATCAAAGATGAATCCACTGCCGTCACCAGCAGACAAGAAGCCGACTGGATCTCTGTTCCTTTCATTCAAAAGGTCTTTCCCTTGATTCTCTCTCAGATTACGCCAAAACCCATCTCACTCCTTTGATTTGTGATTCAATGGCTGAGATTTTTTTGTTTCTGGTGTGGAAATAGTTGATTGCAGAGATTGTGGGGACGTATTTCTTGATATTTGCCGGCGGGGCGTCGGTGGTTGTGAATTTGAGCAAAGACAAAGTCATCACTTTCCCAGGGATTGCAATTGTTTGGGGCTTGGCGGTAATGGTGATGGTTTATTCCGTTGGGCATATCTCTGGCGCTCATTTTAACCCTGCTGTCACCATAGCCTTTGCCACTACCAAGCGATTTCCATGGAAACAGGTAAGCTCGATCATGATTTGGTTTGGTAAAATTCTTGAACCCCACGATACAATTAACCTCTAAAACAAGAAAAGCCCAAGCCTTTTCCATTTTGGGTGAGAAATTCTTGTGCTTGTTACAAATCCCCTGCTCTCCAAAGCTGATTCCAAAACAATTGGACTTTGTTGCAGGTGCCAGCTTATGTGATAGCTCAAGTTCTTGGATCAACATTGGCAAGTGGGACACTGAGGCTAATATTCAACGGAGAACAAGACCATTTTTCAGGGACTCTCCCAAGTGACTCGTATTTGCAGACCTTTGTGATTGAATTCATAATCACATTTTACCTCATGTTCGTGGTGTCTGGTGTTGCCACTGACAATAGAGCCGTTAGTTCATCTTCTCTTTATGATTTACTCCAATTCCCAACTCTAAACTTCACTATAATTTGGTTTACTCATCCTTCCACAGATTGGTGAACTTGCTGGACTTGCTGTTGGCGCCACAGTGCTCCTCAACGTGATGTTTTCAGGGTATTGAATCTTAATATCATCTTCAAACCCATATCCTTAGGCTTCCATATCTAATTTAAGATGCGGTTTTTCAGGCCAATAACAGGAGCGTCCATGAATCCAGCAAGAAGCTTGGGGCCTGCTATAGTATCAAGGCAGTTCAAGGGGTTATGGATATACATGGTAGCTCCCACGTTTGGTGCAATTGCGGGTGCTCTGGTCTACAATACCATCAGGTTTACAGACAAGCCTCTACGAGAGATCACTAAAAGTGCGTCTTTCCTCAAAGGACAAGGGCGCAATGGTTCGTCTTGAGGGGCTTTTGCCTTATATATAACAGCAAAACGCCATTTTTCTTGCTTTCTTTCTTGTATTTCAAAGTATATGCAGATATAGAGCGAAAGGAGAGAAATTTGGGTGTTTTAGTTTTAGTTTTAGCTTTAGTTTATCCAAAGACATGGATATGAAGTAGATTGATGTCGGGACTCGCGAGGAAAACTAAGAATATCCCACATTTGAATAACACCGAACTTTTATGGCTGCATGAATGTTCACATGAACCCTGTCCTCCTCCATCTTTTTACTGTGGAGAGAGAGAGTTTGTAACAAAACAAAACAAAACTTCCTCGTACTTAACAAACAGGATGTCTGCACAACTCCCTCCCTCCCTCCGTCGGTGTAGAAACCTCTTGTAACAAACACGTTTAAAATTATGAGTTTGACGATCATAAGTATCGAATCAAAGCGGACAATTTCTATTAATAGTGAGCTTGAACCATTACCTAAAGATCAGATGGTGTGATAGTAAGAATGTTGACCCTCAAATGAGGTAGATTGTGAGATGTCATTAGTTGTAGAGGGAATGAGTGTGAAAACCTCTCCCTAATATATGTATTTTAAAATCGTGAAGTGGATGACAATCAATCGGGTTTATGCATCAGCAACCAAACATTTGGATAAGTGGGGGCTGTTCTAATCTAATCTTGTACCGAGATGTGGTTGCTGGTGGAGCTTGCATCAGCAGATCCATCCCATATTCCAGGAAGGCTTCTCGGACTAAAACAGAGCAGCGTAAAAAGCAACAGCATCATAAACGATACCATGCTAACCCATACATAGATAATCTTCCTCCACCACCATACAATCCTTTTAAACGGGGGAAGCTCGAATTCAATGAATATGGATGCATCATATATTTCGGGTATGCCAGCACCACGATCATTGAACTCTGCTCGCTGTTCAATTGTAACCCTTAGACAGGCAGTCGGTATATCTCCTTGGGTGAAACCTTTAAGCTCAAGGTTCAGAGTCTGTGACTCTGATACATACCCAATAACAAGAGGCGCAAGCTTCAGGATAGTCAGCAAAAGGCGAAGGGGTTCACTTTTAAACTGTAACATGCATGGATGCCTCGAGGTTGCAAGAATGTCACCGCTAGCAGAAAGAGAGTCAACTCTTACCTGGAAGACCCCAAGATTTCGATTGTATTCAGACTCTGGCAATGTTAGTGAGACAATGACATGAAATTGATGATGCAGGGGAACAGCCCGCAACTGGGTCTTCCCGGTAGGCTGTGGAGAATGATTTGAATCAGGCAAGATTGGCACAAGAGCCTCGGGGCTGTGTTTGGTGTAGTCGAAGTTTATTACTTCTTTGATCTTCACAGGCTCCTGAACTATGAACCTCATAAGAAACGCACTAAATATAAGAGCGGAAACCAAGAGGGCACATAAAATGATATAAACAGAGGCCGACCATATCAAACCCCACGCAAAGCGGTGTCCAACCTTCCAAAGATACTTGCAATCCTCAACTCGTGCAGATACCGCTGGACCGACCATGGCAATTACAACTTCCCAAACCCCCAACAACTTTCTTATGACATACGATACGCCCAATTCGCCGTCCGAGTTAATCTCCGCGGTAGTCATGGTCGACACCTCTGTATTCTCTTCGTTACTGCGGCGAGCAGAGGTCCGACGGCGTAATGAATTGACGGCGGAGGGGGCATTCTCAGACGAGAGTTCGGGCACCGGTGAAGCGGACAATTGAGGTTGATCGGTGAGCGAACAATGCTCCGGTGGGAAATGGTGTTCGTTAAGTTTGTTGTGGTGGGATTCCATTGGCCAGATGGAGCACCCAACTGCGCAATCTAAAACCAGGGCAGGGGATTTCTTACAATCTTATGTTCTACACGTTTATGATCAATTATATTAGTTTATGTCACCTAATTAAGTAATTTAAATATGTATACGTAATAAGAGTAGTAAGACTGTGTTACAATTAATTAAAATAATAATGCAATTACATAATTAGTTAGCTTAAATTAATAAAAAAATATGCTCTATATAAAATTTCAAAAAGTTTTAATAATAAAAAAATTTTAATAATACCCTTAAAAGTAATTTTAATTTTAGATAGAAACCATTAGTTTTTTTTTTTTTAAAAAATACTCTTCAACTTTAAAAGTCTGGAGATAATCTATGAGGTGTCGTTTGACATTTTCGTTCATATATTGTGTAAAATTTTTTCTAATTTTTTTATAAAGATAAAATATGTTAATGTTACTTTTAAAAATTTTATACTCAACATAATATTTTTAAAATTTTTAAAAGAGTTAAATGATATTAAAAATATTTTAAAAATTAAAAAATATTTTAATACTATCAAAAGTTCAAGAATATTTTAAAAATAAAATACTATTGTTTGACTCGATGTAAATTTTATATTATTTTAATTTTTAAAAATTTATGAGTATTTTTGAAATAATAAATATAGAGTGTAAAGAAAATATTAAATAAAGGAAATTAGTTGTACGTTATAATTAATTTTTAAGAATTATTGGTTAATAATCAAACATGCTGAAATTATTTCAATGAATAATTTATAATAGAGAATTTCCTTTCTTTTTTAATATAATTATAGTTAATGACGTGATTAAAATATTCATAAAATCAATTTATCAATTATTTATAATTATCTTTATCAAGTTATTAAGTCATACTTCACCATTATATAAAAGCTTTGGTAATTTGAGCATTAATAAAAGATAATTAAGACATGATAATTATTTGAATTTGAATTTTAAAAAAAAAATGTATTTATGATTAAGAAATTTGAAGGGTTAAAGACAAAAATTAGAATGGTCGGGGAAATAAAAATGAAGCTATCCCGTTTCTTCTCCGGTTGCTGTTGCTTCCAATGTTCTCAATTCTGCTGCTCTAATGGCCACAACTCACAAAACCCAGGTTTTGTTTATTTGAAACTGACCCACTTCTTACCTTTTCTAAATATGGACGCTTTGACCACTACTCTTTGCAGGTCTATCGAAGCTTTAGGGCGTGGTTTTGATGTCACCGCCGATATTCGTCTTCTTTACTGCAAGGGAACACCAGGGTCGAGGCTGGTTCACCTCAATGATACTCACACCAGGGATCTTCTTCTCTCTGATGGGCTTGTGGTTCCCAATGTGCCTGATGATGTTCAGTGTTCTTCAGAATCCAGGGTAACCGAAAACGTCCCTGTATGCAGCTTCCACAAGGTGAATTCCCAGCTGTTCTTTCAATTGGGCCTTGTTTCTTTTTGCTTATGATTGACCCCTTTTGCCCCTTCTTGAACTTCCCTTCCTGAATGCTTGTTGATTCAAATGTCAGTTGAGTTTAAATCGGTAGGGCATGGGCTCCTGAACAAACTAACCTGCAAAGGAAAGAGCCCTTTTGTCCATCACTTCAATTCAGCTTGATGGGTCCGAAGCTTCACATTAGCCCGATCAGGTGTTCGCCATCTCCATTATTCTACTGGCTTCAAAATGAGTGTGACCTTGTTAAATCTAATGGTTCTGCTGATGAAGTAGATCACAGTTGGCCGTAAACCTGTAACTGGTCTTAGGCTCAACCTTGAAGGCAGCAAGCAGAATCGACTTGCTATCCATCTCCAACATCTGGTGTCTCTGCCAAAAATTCTCCAAACCCATTGCGACTCACATGTTGCCATAGGTGCCCTTAAATGGCATGGCCCTGAGGAGCAGGACAGCAGGTGGTTTGAACCCATCAAGTGGAAGAACTTCTCACATGTAAGCACAGCGCCCATAGAGTATACAGAAGCCAACATTGGAGACTTGTCTGGTGTTCATATCGTAACTGGAGCGCAGCTCGGTGTTTGGGACTTCGGTGCCAAAAATGTACTATATTTAAAACCTCTCTTCTCGAAGGTACCTGGCTGCACGATTCGGCAATCAGTCTGGGATCATAGCCCTTCCACCCCTGCTACTCCAATGAGATCTGATGGTGCCTCATCATCTTCCAAAACAAGAACTTCCCAAGATAATAAAAAGGAAGACAGTTCAGCCAATGCTGGAAAACTTGCAAAAGTTGTAGACTTGACTGAAATGTCCAAGGGACCACAGGATATTCCAGGTCATTGGTTGGTTACAGGGGCTAAGCTCGGGGTCGACAAGGGAAGGATAGTTTTGCGCATCAAGTACTTGTTGCTAAACTACTGATTGGTCCTTGGTCGGGTATCCCTTCTTCAAACTATAAACAAAAGTGGAGCATTTTTTTGCATAGAATTCATGTGTTCTTTTCTCTCTCGTCCTACATTGTACATCTTTTTAGCTTTATAGCCATTTTTTCATGTTGATTGTCAGAAACATTTAGTTATAGCCATGTTCTTGTTGTATTTATCACAGTTGTTGTTCTTGTTAGACAACAAGGGCTTTGCTGCTAAATGATAATTACAGATAGGACTAGGACCATCCCTTTTCATTTTTGGTCCCTTCAAAAGAAAATGTTTTGTTAAATTCCTGCCTATCCACTAAATAATATCCCACCCATTTTAGGTCGATGCTCAGAATAAAATGTCTAAGTATAAAGTTTATTGGATGTACATGAATAATAGACTAGATGCTTTTGAATAAAATGTGTAACACAAGTGTTTATTTATGTCCACGAGTATAAAGAAAGCACTAAGATGACTTATTGCTTGGTCCCAATCTTTCAAATTGTCATTCGGGCCAACCAGAATTTATCCCCCTTTTCCTAATTCTAATATTCATTTCTATCTATATTTTCTTACCCGATGCTTTAGATACAGGACGAAACCATGATTTGTTCTCTCATACGTTCATCGGCATAAGCACATTGTATTAGCTCCTCCAATAATTTCTAGATTTGGATAAATAAAACTTTCAACCATGTCACGTCTCTAATTGAGTGATTAACATTAATATAATAAATGATTAAGATACTCATAGTGTATACAAACTTTTTAAACAAAATCAACTTTTCTGTGAGACTATATCCTATGGAAAAAAAGTTCACCACATATTTCTATGAATGGAATAACTCACTATCACAACACAACTGTAAGGATTCTCTAAGGTCGATAACTGATATAATAGTGAAGCAGAGGCATGCAGTTATGAACACGCTATCAGAGGTCACACTAGTCTTACCAAGCAACAAGAAACCGAAAGCTATCAGTTCATGACAGCAATGGAGGATCCTGGCCAGTTCCAATAGTATGTTTGATGTTCTTCATTTGAGCTCCAATTAAGTTCCAATCAAGGAGGTTAGGTCCTTCAGCTGATCTCGTGAGTTGCGAGGTTTATCTGCTAGTTCATTTCTATGGAGGAGATGCTTGAGGTAGTTGAAGGAAAAGTGGACTGGAAGGGAAGATCAGCTTTCAAACAAAAACATGGAGGAACTAAATCTTCTTTGCTCGCACTAGGTACGAAATCATTTGCTCATCAATGTTTTTAGATGTAGTGAGCCAAAGTGTAACAGCCCAAGGCCAACACTAGCCGCATATATTGTCTTCTTTGAGCTTTCCCTTTCAGGCTCCCCTCAAAGTTTTAAAACGCATCTATTAAAAAGAGGTTTTTACACCCTTTTAAAAGAATGTTTCGTTCCTCTCTCCAATCGAGATAGGATCTCACAGAGATAGAACGCGCTCTTTAGCAGACTACATAACCACATGCACCCTTGTATGCTCATTGTAATCACAACACAGTTTCTTGTTTACCTTTTGGGTTTTTTGTTGCAGTGACATATGGTTTCGATCAAATGGCAAACTTCGCGCTTGCAGTGAACTTGACTACGTATTTCAATACTGTGATGCACTTGGAACTAGCGGATGCGGCCAACCAACTGACGAATTACATGGGAACATGTTACATTCTCTCTATTCCAATGGCTGTTCTCGCAGACACATGCTTGGGCAGAGTCAAAACTGTCATCATTTCTGGCTGTCTTGAGTTTCTGGTCAGCCCAACTTTAGTGGCTTTACTTTGCTGCCCCTACCGATTCCCATATGCTAAACACTGTTACTGTTATTTTAGGCGCTAATATTGCTCATGATACAAGCTCACTACCCGAAGCTCAAGCCACCACTTTGCAATATATTTGATAAACAATCCCACTGCGAGACAGTTGGAGGAGGAAATGCTGCCCTCCTCTATGTTCCTCTATATGCATTAGCTATTGGGAATGCAGGCATTAAGGCTGCATTACCACCGCATGGAGCTGATCAATTTGATGAAAAAGACCCCAAAGAGGCGATGCAAATATCCAGCTTCTTCAATCAACTGTTGCTAGGATCGTCCCTCGGTATAGCTGCTAGTTTAACTCTTGTTGTGTGGATCCAAGACAACAAAGGTTGGGACTGGGGTTTCGGGGTATCTTCTGCAGCCATCTTGTTCGGTATAGTCATGTTTGTTGCCGGATTGCCACTGTACAGAATGCACATTATTTCTGGGTCTAATGCAATCGTCCAAGTTTTACAGGTATGTCCGTGAGACAAGCAAAATACAGAGTTGGAGGCAAATATATTGTTACTTCTGTCCAAATAAATGTTGTTTTTAGGTCTATGTTGCAGCCACTCGTAATAGAAATCTTGTCCTTCCCGAAGACCCTGCAGATCTTTATGAGATTGAAAGGGACAAAGAGGCTGTTATGGAAGAAGACTTTCTGCCTCATAGAAACATTTGCAGGTTTTGTACATGAAACTCTGTTTAAACTTTCTAGTTTGACAGCCCCATAAGCATTGAATACCATGATAACTCGAATATACAGGTTTCTAGACAAAGCGGCAATTCAACAAACACCTTGTAGGCAAGTTGAAACTCCCGAAGCTTCAAGCCCTTGGAAACTATGCACAGTGACCCAAGTAGAGAATGCCAAAGTAATTCTCAGCATGATACCAATTTTCTGTTGCACAGTGAATATGAGCCTCTGCTTTGCCCAGCTCCAAACCTTCTCCATCCAACAGGGCCTCACCATGGACACAAAACTCACACCCTCCTTCAAAATCCCCCCGGCGTCACTCACCATCATCCCAGTCTTCTTTCTCATCATCATGGCGCCAATCTACGACAAGATTCTTGTCCCCTTTGCTCGAAAATTCACAGGCATCCCCACAGGAATCACCCCCTTGCAACGAGTAGGTGTTGGATTGGTTCTGTCCATCATCTCCATGGCCGTCGCGGCACTAGTGGAAGTGAAGCGTAAAGGCGTTGCGAGAGACCACAACATGTTGGATGCAACCCCTGTTTTGCAGCCATTGCCAATCAGCACGTTCTGGCTATCATTTCAATTCTTCATATTCGGAATCGCAGATCTCTTTGCATACGTAGGGCTTCTCGATTTCTTCTACTCCGAGGCGCCAAAAGCCCTAAAATCTGTCTCCACTTGCTTCCTTTGGAGTTCGATGGGCATGGGATACTTCTTGAGCACCATAATTGTGAAGGTTGTGAACAGTGCTACGAAAGGGATTACGAAAAATGGAGGTTGGCTGATTGGAAACAACATTAATCGGAACCATTTGAATCTCTTCTACTGGCTGCTTTCAATCTTGAGCTTCATCAACTTCTTTATCTATATATTTGCTACCCAGAAATACAATTACAGAAACCATAAACCAGCCATCTCCGCCATTGATGACAGTAGGTAGGGAGCCATGAGAGAAAAAAAGAAACTAAATTATGCTTAGAATTGAAAACTTTCAAGAACTATGGATCATAAATAATGTGTGTTAAATTTGTACAATTTCTACCTTCTATGGCTGATGGTTTATTTTAGCTACTACATTCAGCATCAAATATGCGCATATTCTTGTAATAAACTTAGATTCCCAACTCCGTTTGCATTGCCGGTGGGATAGGTTCAAGTTGCCGCCCTACTGAGCCCACGTGGCCCGATAGTCTATAACCCACGACATGTCGTCATGAAAACCTACCCAAATCTCTCACAACAGTTCAGTCAACGAACTTCAATACTCCATTTTATTTCCGTCTTCTTCTCTTCTCCGCTTCAATGGCGAACCCAGAATCCACCCCTATCCAACCCTCTGAAGGGGAGAAGAACGTGTATTCGGTCTGGGCTCTTCCTCCAGAAGATGTTATGGCCAGAATCAGGACTCTCATGAACAGCCTCAGATCCGAGTTCGGCGGGCCCCAATTCGAGCCACATATCACTGTCGTTGGGGCTATTCGTCTCACCCTTGACGATGCCCTCAACAAATTCCGCTCGGCTTGCGAGGGGCTTAAGGCTTATCAAGCCACCGTCGATTGTGTATCTACCGGAACCTTCTTCTACCAGTGTGTTTTTCTCCTTATTCATCCTACCACTCAGGTTCTTCCCTCTGTTCTTTATTTTACCTCCTTTTCTCTGTTTGATCGTTCTCTCACTCCCCCTTTTCTTCTTCTCAGGTGGTGGAGACTAGTTCACATTGCTGTGGACATTTTGGTTACAAGAATACCCGTAAGATCCAGTTCTCTTGCGTTAATTTCTTGTTTTTTCCATTTTTTTTTTCAAAAGATATCTTATCCATAGGTTGTTGATTGTTAAATTGAATCATGAATCACATTCAAAATGGTAAACTTAGCTCTGTTTTTCCCTTCCCTCAGATTGTTATGAACATACAGTAGACTTTGATATCTCTGGGTCAGCGTATGTGTTTCTAGACTAAGATTACAGGATGAACATTCGGATTTTACGTATTGGGTATTAGAAAACTCTTAGGATTTGGTAAATCAATGGGTCAAGCTAGGCCTTGGAAAAGAAGTTTTGATAAACTTGTTGGTATTATCCATCTTGTTGGTGCTACTGATGCCAATTATCTGCAAAATTGTCTCGTAAGCAGTCCAAGTAGTTGAGCTAAATTTCTTCTTTACAATCAAATGACAATAGAAACGGATTAGCCATATGAAAGTAAATGCAAGCCTGTTGTCAAATTCAAGACGATTAAGCAATGAATCAAAGAACTATGCTCGTTTCGGTACAAGATAACGAGGATGCTTCTCGAATCTCAACTAATAATATGAATGTCATGTCTGTATCAGCTTACATGCCGCATTTGAGCCTACTGTATGCCAACATATCAGATGAACAAAAGAAGCAGGCAAAAGAACTAGCAGAGAAGCTGGACGAAGCCATTAATGGCCTGAGCTTCCCCATCACTCGTCTTGCACTATACAAAACAGACACTGGAGATGAAACTCTGAAGTCCTGGGAGAAAATTGCAGAACAGGATCTTCCTTCAAGTTAATAAGCTTCTGTTTATATCTATACACCCCATGAACACTGTTCTTTTGGACAATGTCTGTACTCCTCTGTACTTGTTAACTGGTAAAAATAAATAAATGTCAGCTGAAGGCATTACTATTTTATTCTTGTAAAAGAGAATTAATTTATTATCTAATATAAATTATAGACAAATTTAAATTTTGATTGTGTCTTCAATAAATTGATGAATTGATTTTGAAAGTTGACTAAACTTGTAATATAAAATTTTGATCTTTTTTTAGATCAACTTGCGCAAGTGGATTTTTTTTTTTTTTTTTTTTTTTTTTTTTTTTTTTTTTTTTTTTTTTTTTTTTT